TGTAATATTTATTATTTTCTATCTTCTGCCAGCTTTAGGTTTTATTTGCTGTTCCTTTTCTAGCTTCTTTAGGTGTAAGTTTAGATCATGTATTTGTGACCTTTCTTCTTGAGATAGGCCTGAATTGAAATGTACTTTCCTCTTAGGACTGCCTTTGCCGCATCCCAAAGGTTTTGGACTGTCATGTTTTCATTTGCATTTGCTTCCATGTATCTTTTTGTCTCTTCTTTAATTTCCTGGTTAATCCATTCATTCTTTAGTAGGTTGTTCTTTAACCTCCATGTATGTGATGGCTTTCCAAATCTTTTCTTGTGGTTTGCACTAAATTTCATAGCATTGTGATCTGAAAATATGCATAATATGATCTCAATCATTTTGCACTTGTTGAGGACTGAATTATGACCCAGTATGTGATCTGTTCTGGAGAATTTCCCATGTGCACTCAAAAATAATGTGTATTCTGCTGCTATTGGATGAAAGTTCTGTATATTTCTGTTAGGTCCATTGGGTCCAGTATGTCATTCAAATGCATTGGTTCCTTGTTGATTTTCTGCTCAGATAATCTGTCCATTGCTGTAATTCGGTTGTTAAAGTCTCCTATTGTTGTATTATTATTGATAAGTTTCTTTTTGTTTGTTATTAATTGATTTATATATTTTGGTTCTGTCACGTTAGGGACATAAATTCTTGTGCTTGTTAGCTCTTCCTGATGGATGGACCCCTTAATTATGATATAATGCCCTTCTTCATCTCTGCTTATAGTCTTTGTTTTAAAATCTGCTTTGTCTAAGTATGGGTACTACTGCTTTCTTTTGATGTCCATTAGCATGATAAATGGTTTTCAATCCCTTCACTTTCTGTCGGCAGGTATCTTTAGGTCAAAAATGAATCCCTTGTAGGCAGTATATAGATGGATCTTGGTTTTTTAATCTATTCTGTTACCCTATGTAAATGCAAGCTATTTATATTCGTAGTGATTATTGAAAGATTGAATTTAATGCCGTTGTGTTGCCTGTATAGTTGATGTTTCTGGTGATCCTCTCTGTTCCTTTCTAAAATTTGTTGACCTTTGGTCTTTTATTTTTTTCTCCACTCAAAGAGTCCCCCTTAAAACTTCCTGCAGGGCTGGTTTAGTGGTCACATATTCCTTTAGTGTTTGTTTGTCTGGGAAACTCTTTATCTCTCCTTCTATTCTGAATGACAGCCTTGCTAAATTAAGAATTCTTCACTGCATATTTTTCCAATTCAGCACGTAGAATATACCCTGCCATTTCTTTCTGGACTGCCAAATTTTTGTCGACAGGTCTGCTACAACCTGATCTGTCTTCTGTTGTAGGTTAAGGACTTTTTTTTTCCCCTTGTTGCTTTCATGATTCTTTCCTTCTCTCTGTATTTTGTGAATTTGACTATGATATGCCTTGATGATGACTGGCTTTTGTTGAATTTTTTTAAACGTTTATTTAGTTTTGAGAGAGAGAGATAGCACAAGCGGAGGAGGAGAGGGGAGACAGAGAATCCTAAACAAGCTCCAAGCTGTCAGTGCAGAGCCTGGTGTGGAGCTTGAAACCACGAGCTTTGAGATCATGACCTGAGCCAAAATCAGATGCTTAATCGACTGAGCCACCCAGGTGCCCCAGCTTTTGTTGAATTTAATAGGAGTTCTCTGTCTTTCTTGGATTTTGGTGTCTTGGTCCTTCCCCAAATTAGGGAAGTTTTCAGCTATAATTTGCTCACATAAACCTTCTACTCCTTTTTCTCTCTCTTCATCTCCTGAGACTCCTATGATATGAATGTTATTAGGTTTTAATAAATCACTGAGTTCCTAAGCCTGTCTTTGTGATCCCTGACCTTCTTTTCCCTCCTCTTTTCAGCTTCATTATTTTCCATAATTTTGTGTTCTTTATCACTAATTCGCACCTTTGCCTTGTCCATTCTCGCTTTTATGGCCTCTTTTTGGGTTACATCTCAGTGATAGCATTTTTAATTTTGGCCTGACTAGATTTTAGTCCTTATATCTTTTCAGAAAGTGATTCTCTGGGGTCTTCTATGCTTTTTTCAAGCCTAGCTAGTATCCTTATAATCATGTTTTTATTTTTCATTTATTTTGAGAGAGAGAATGAGTGCTAGCAGGGAGGGCCAGAGGGAGAGAATCCCAAGCAGGCTTTTCACACCAGCAGCACATAACCTGACACAGGGTTTAAACTCAAAAACCATGAGATCATGACCTGAGCCAAAACCAAGAATCAGACTCTTAACTGATTGAGCCACCCAGGTGCCTCATAGTTGTGATTTTAAATTTTAGTTTAGACATCTGCATTGATAAAATCCCTGGCTGTCATTTGTCCTGTTCTTTCATTTGAGTTGAATTCCTCTGTCTTGTCATTTTAAAGGAAGAAAAACAATAATAAAAAAAATAATAATAGAATGAAATAAAATTTTAAACATCTTTAAAAATTCAAATAAAGAAGCTAGATCCTAGGTGTGTTTTGGTCTGCTTGTTAAGAGAAGCTTGATAGAATATAGGTATAAGAAAAAAGCGGAAAACTAGGTGCCTGGGTGGCTCAGTCTGTTAAGCATCCTACTTCAACTCAGATCATGATCTCACAGCTCTTGAGTTCAAGCCCTGTGTCGGGCTCTGTGCTCACAGCTCAGAGCCTGGATCCTGCTTCCACTTCTGTCTCCCCCTCTCTCTCTGCCCCTCTTCCGCTTGCACTCTGTCTCTCTCTTTCAAAAATTAACAAATGTTTAAAAAAATTTTAAAAAGAAAAAAGAGGAAAAGACATTAAAATTTAAAAATTGAAAGTCGAAATAAATTGGATATATAAAATACAATAAAATACAGTACAATAAAATAAAATAAAATTTGCTTTCTGTATCCAAGAAAAACAAAAGAAAAAAACAACAAAAGCAGAAGCAAAACACAAGCAAACAAACAAAAAGGAACCCAAGTGAATCTAGATCCAGTTTCTCCTAGCGCTGAAATTTTCAGCACTCTATGTACAGTCGACTGAGCACATGAAGAGATTTGTGCTGGTCCTCTTGGGGAGAAGGGTTCTGCCGCTCACATTCTCAGGTCAGCTTGCTGCAGTGGAGCTGTGCCTGGAAGGCCTGGGAGTGTGGCTTTGTTGTAATGGCTACATTCTGTTTGGTGGTGCTGTTTAGCTCACTGGAGCCTGTCCCTGTTGGGCTAATGGTGAAAATGGTTCTGCCTGTTCTCTAGTCTCCACAGCAGGAAACACCTATTCTCACTGACAAAGGATCACTTCTCTTGTGTTTCCTGCTTCTGTCAGCTCCCCGCCTACCCCAAAGTTGTTCACCTACCAGTTGGTACCTCCTTCCAGAGCTTTACCACAGACATGGCTGTTTCAGAACCCCGCGCTTAAGAAAACCCTGAGGTTTGGACTCACAATGATCCTCTGGGGGAGGGTCTCCCTGCACTGAGACCAGGAAATGATCATGATGGTCATGCATCTGTGCAGCAGCAGCAGCAGCAGCTCAGACCTTATGGTAAATTGCACACACAGCTGGGGCCAGGGTTTGCTGCCCTCAGCCAGCATCTTTGTTCTTATATGGGTGAATGTAGAAGCTTGATGGTGCCCGCCAAGTCTTTTGCCGCATAGAGGCCTTATCACCTCTACCAAATGCACTGTAAGCAGAGGAAGTGCTTCTACCTGTGCCACCCAGAGGATCTCAGACTATGCTGCCTGCTCCTGGGACTCTGCGCTACTTTCTTAGTGGAACACTGCTAGGCACTGACCTCTGACTCACTCACACACTGCTAGACTCTGTACTCCACTGTTTATTAAAAAAACTTGTGGTATTGAAACCCTCTCCTTTTTTCTCTATTGGTATTGGGGGACAGTTTTCTTGTGCAGTCCCCTGTGCATGTATTTGCCTTTTCTCTAGCTGCTTTCACGGGGAGTACTTTCTTGAGCAAAGATGACACCACTGGGCTCTTCCCCTCTCTCTCCATTCCTCTCCCTCCCCTCTGCTTCACTGCAGCTCTTCTCTCCCCCAGTCTGCCTCTCCACACCACATACTTGCCCTTTTTTGTCCCTCAAAGTAGGCAGATTTTTCTATTAATTCTCAAATCGATTTCCTAGTTGTCCAAAATGGTTTGATGTTGTTCTAGCTGTGTTCGAGGGGCAGGACAAACCCAGGGCCCTTTTATTATTCTGCCTTCTTAACTCCGCCCCACTATTGCTTTTTTAATTATTATCTTTTCTGTGACCACTCATATTATTCTACTTGAATTTCTGTTTCTTTGCATATAAGAGTTCTTGGATCTATCTTTCAGGTCTCTTCCTTCGTAATTTCCACCCCTTTATATTTTTATTCAGTGCTTTGAAATATGTATTACACTTAATTTCAGTCTCAGTAGTGACCATTGGTTGCTCTAGTTAATCTACTCAGTTGTTAGCTTTTGTGAAATCATGTGCATTATCTCCATGAAGTCTTGTGTTGTATTGTACACTAATTTCCTTAAAGGTTTTCATTATTTTTCTAAGTTCAAGTTGTTGCTTGTCTTTTCTACATCTGAATTTCACTTCTTGACAGATATCTCTGTTTATAGCTGCCAGACTTTGTGGTGTAGAAGCAGAAGCAGACAGTTCCCCAATAGTCCACTGCAGAGGCCCCTGGGCTCACAGACACTTTACTCTCAATTTTAGGACTCTACTTACCTGCTCCACAACTTCTGGCCTCTTGAGTGCCAGTGAGACCAGGCACAGACTTGCAGGACTGAGGCTATCTTCCTTTACCCTGTTCTGTTCCCACTACCAGCAGGAACTTGCAGTCATGTAGGCTGAGCTCTCTGTGTGTAGTCCGTATGTGGGGATTAATTCTTGTTAAATACCTGTGGTCTTTATTACTGAAAATAAATAAAAATTATGATTTTTAGAGGAAAATACGTAAGTATTTTTAAAATATATTGAAGTATTTATATTAATTTACTTTTTCAAATAGACAACTCACAGTTTTTCTTTATTATGTGTTTATAGGTTAGCATGGCCTCATTGAAAGAATTAGACCAAAGGCTCTTTGAAAATTACATTGAGTTAAAAGCAGATCCTATCGTTGGCTCCTTAGAACCTGGAATTTATGCAGGCTATTTTGATTGGAAAGACTGCCTGCCACCAACAGGTAAATGGTTTCAAGTTACTGAAGTTCTCTAAATGTAGTCCAGTACATATAGAGTAATAAATATGGAAACAAATTTATCAATCAGTATATTCTTTTTTTTTTTTAAGTTCATTTATTTTGAGAGAGAGAGAGAGAGCGCAATTCCCAAGGAGGGGTAGAGACAGAGGGAGAGAGCGAGAATCCCAAAGAGGATCCATAATGACAGTGTGGAGCCTGATGCGGGTCCCAAACCCACAAGGTGTGAGATCATAACCTGAGCTGAAATCAAGAGTCAGCCACTTAGCCAACTTAGCCACCCAGGCACCCTCAGTTAGTATATTGTTAAAATGCTTTTCTTTTGTATTCACATTTTTTCTCATATTTACTGAGGGATTAGTTTGATTTTAACTTTTTATGAGCTTAAATCCATTTTTGATAGTTTGAATATTAGTGCACTTTATATTATTAATATTGAAGCCTTAAACTTATTTTTAAATTCCAGAAAATAATTCATTACACCTTATATGTAGTATTCAATCATTTTAAGTAATGCATCCCTTTTTCCCTGGATGTAGCTTTATTGCAAAGATATGTTATGAGTGACAGTTGTATACAATGACTTTGTGACTATCATCCAAACGTTTAAGAAATCCGCTCACTTCTATATATGACCTAATTGTCAATGCTGAAAAGGTGAAGGATAGAGGAAAAATGTGTAGGAGTATGATCATTATAGTAATTTAACAAAGAAAATTGAACCACAGAAGGATAATTACCTAGTTCCAGTATTATTTCTGTGACATCAAATGAAATCAGTTCATAATATATATTTTAAAAATAACTTGCTTGCTGAATCCAACTTCTTGATGGGTCAAATAAGTAGGATTATGTGCGGATTATGTGGATTATGAAATAATGTGAAATACATAAAACCAGGCTCCCTGTTAACCTTTTTTTATAGAAGTAGTTTTACATAGAAATGTTCATGTTGACATTAGGCATAGATTCTGTTTGGATGTATATATGTAGATATAACAGTGAATTGTTTAGAGGCTTGTATTAATTTTCATTCTTTTACCCCATTGCTCTAACCCCCCCCTTTTTTTATTGTATAGCACATTTCTTAGATGGCAATTAAATTGTTTAATCTTTAAACAACCTTTAGATTTTTATTCTGTGTGTTCATATTAGGTGGTAACAATATTGTGATGCTAGAAGTCAAAACTAAAAACCATAATCATTAAATTAAAGATATTTGGGGCGCCTGGGTGGCTCAGCCAGTTGGGCGTCTGACTTTGGCTTAAGTCGTGATCTCTCAGCTCGTGAGTTGCAGCCCCGCATCTGGCTCTGTGCTGACAGCTTGGAGCCTGGAGCCTGGAGCCTGCTTTGGATTCTCTGTCTCCGTCTCTCTCTCTTTCTCTCTCTGCTCCTCCCCTGCTTGCGTGCTCTCTCTCAAAAATAAACAAATATTAAAAACATATTTTATGTGACTACAGGAATTTTATTTTCTGAAATCACAGCCATTATAGTCATATGAGTCCTTCTACCTACAGCTGGCCATGATTAATCTTTTTTCCTTAAACTCTGTTACTTTTCTATGCACATACTTTACTGTGTCTAAACTGGATTATAGTTCATATCCAAATATATCCTTTTATAATTCTTTTTTTTTTTTTAAGTGTATTTATCTTCAGAGAGAGAGACGTATGAGTGAGGAAGGGGTAGAAAGAGAGGAAGAGAGAATCCCAAGCAGACCCTTAACTGTTACTGTAGAGCCTGATATGGGGCTCAAACCCATGTACTGTGAGGTCATGACCTGAGCCGAAATCAAGAGTCAGACGCCTAACTGACTAAGCCACCCAGGTGCCTCCAAATAATATCCTTTTAAAGTTTAACTCAGATTCTGTTCATATTTTATAATCCTTGCAATATCTTCCCATTATACTTACATCAAAATATGCAAAACAGTGCAGGGCAGGGCCCCCTGACTGGTGCCCTGGTTGCTTGGCCCATCACCTATGAGAACACCCCACAGCTTCTCTCTACCTGCCCTTTTGCACAGTGAGCCTTTTTGTTGTCCATATCTTTTTATTTCCAGATCCTTTCTACCCCTTCAAGACTGTTTTCCCTCTTTTTAGGCATTAATTCTCCCTTATCTCCATAGAACTGAGTCCATTTTATCATTCAGTTCTTAAATATCACCATACCAGCCATCCAACCTGAAGAAATGATGTAGCCAATGAGCAGTAAGTGTGATGTTTTAAATTTAACCTGTGAAAACTACTCATATTTTATTTGTAAAATAATTACAAGGGAGAATGCTGTAGATGTCATTCCAGCACTGGCCTTTATACTAGTTGAACTTATTACAGCCAAATCTATGAGGTCATAGTTAGTGGGTTTATTACCCCTTTAATTGAACACACATGACTTTTAACAACAAATTATTCTCAAGATCATCAGTCAATAGCCTCTGGAACTTTTCATATATAATCCCCTCAGAACTCTTGGGCCCAGATTTTGAAATTTCAGTATTTTGGGGTTTTAGAAAGACTGTGCATGTGCCATATATTATGTTACATTCCCAGCAAGCATTTCTGCAGGGACACATATGAATAGTTAGATGAGGAGTGATAATGTGGTATTCTTATTCAAATCAAGTGCAAAATCCTACCAGAAGAATTCATCACAAATTTGCAAATTCACAAACAAAATTTTGCCTCTTGAATTTTGTACCCAGTGGCTAAAATACTGCTTGGTACATAATGTCCAGTCAGTAAATACTTTTCAGTGACTGCTTGGATGACCTCTTTGTAGCTCCCACAAGTGCCTCTGCTAGTGTCTTCACTGCCCGGTCATCACTTCCTTGGCTGTCCTTTGCATGCTTCAGGGCCCATCTCTGAAAGGAGTGCTTTTTCTGGGGAGTCTTCCTCTGTCAACCCCAACAGGACTCTTTTTTCCTGAACCTCTATTACACCCTTTAACTTCTCTTATAACTCATTAGTATCTGTACATAATATATATATTTTTGTATCTGCTTTTTATTCTCCCATTTTGGAGGAATTTTTATTAATGTTTTCTTTATATCTGAGAGAGAGAGAAAGAGCGTGAGCGGGGTGGGGGGGGGGGTCAGAGAAAGAGGGAGACACAGAATCTGAAACAGCCACCAGGCTCTGAGCTAGCTTGTCAGCACAGAGCCTGACGCTGGGCTCGAACCCATAAACCATGAGATCATGGCCTGAGCCAGTCGGACGCTTAACCAACTGAGCCGCCCAGGCACCCCATGGAGGAATTTTTTTTTTTTTTTTTTTTACAAATAGTTTATTGTCAAATTAGTTTCCACATAACACTCAGTGCTCATCCCCACAAGTGTCCTCCTCCATGCCCATCCCTCCTCCCCCCCACATCCATCAGTCCTCAGTTTTTGTCAGCATTCAAGAGTCTCTCATGGCTTGCCTCTCTCCCTTTCCCCCACCATTTCCGCCCTTCTTCTCCCCCTTGTTCCTCCGTCAAGTTCCTCCTAATCCTCCTATACGTGCAAACATATGATATTTGTCCTTCTCTGCCTGACTTATTTCGCTCAGCATAACACCCTCAAGGTCCATCCATGTTGCTACACATGGCCAGATTTCATTGTTTCTCATTGCCATGTAGTATTCCATGGTATAGATAAACCACATCTTCTTGATCCATTCATCTGTTGATGGACACTTAGGCTCTTTCCATGTTTTAGCTATTGTGGAGAGTGCTGCTATGAACATTGGGGTCCATGTGCTCCTATGCCTCAGCATTTCTGTATCCCTTGGGTCAATTCCTAGCAGTGCTATTGCTGGGTCATAGGGGAGTTCTATTGTTAGTTTCCTGAGGAACCTCCACACTGTTTTCCAGAGGGGCTGTACCAGTTTACATTCCCACCAACAGTGTAGGAGGGTGCCCGTTTCTACATGGAGGAATTTTTAAACAAAGATGTGAGAAGATTCTTTTCACGTTTACAGACTTCAAATTATTTAAGTATTTTTATAGAGTAGTGACTGAAAGTTTCAGAATTCCAACGGATAGATATTGGAAGCATTTTTCCATAAAATCTCTTTTCTACTCAGGGTAACAGTGCACAATACTCAGATATTGCCCTTACTGTTCCTAGACCACTGCTGGTGAACTAAATATCACTGCTTTGCCATTTCTCCCCAGTCTTGGAAGAACTAGACAAAAATTGCCAAGTATTGTGGACCAGCCTGATTCCTGCTTCTCCCTTGGCTGGGCTGCCTTCACCTTCTGTCTAAGACTGCTGAGAGGGATGGCATCTGGTGACCATGTTTCCTTTCTCATTTGGGACGCCTCCACTTGTGAATACATATATAAATTATCTCATGGGAAAAGAAAAGCCTGAGCCTTGCCACACCAAACTTTTGTGGAAATAATTTAGCAATTCCAGGTATTCAGAAATAAAGGAGTTTTTATAGGCAGGCCATCCATGTGCAAACACATACACACACACATGCATACAGGCATGTACTCCCTAAGTTTTTAAGTGTCTTCCAGACAGATGGCTTTAGTTAATTTGTGTCCTCATAACCTCTAAGTGACTTGCATATAATTACCACTTACTACTTGTGGTATTAATTTCCTAAATTTAACAATCTTAAGATAACCAAATTATTTATAATCTCTTGAGAATCTGGCGGGGTAGGGCTAGGACATTAAGCACTACACTAGCAGCTGTGGTCACTCTAGCCGTAAATCACAGTCCCTATCACTCTTCTCTTTACAACCCAGCTTTTAAAAAGTTATCTGTCTTCCCTCAAAGATTCCATGCTAGGGCTATCTGTGTTCTTGTATCACTTCATCTCTCATCCCCTGAAGTCTGCCTATACCCTGCCCCCCAATTGAGCCTGTTCTCACTGAAGCTACCCCTGATGCTATACAGCTGACCCTTGAACACATAGGTTTGAACTGTGCAGTTGCACTCATACTTGGATTTTTTTTTTTTAACGTTTATTTATTTTGGAGAAACAGAGTGC